TTTGAAGACAGCTTTACTGAGGTATAATTGATATACAAAGACCTATATATATTTAATGTTTACCATTTGATAAGTTTGGGCATAAGTCAGAAACTTGTGAGGCCATCATCACAGTCAAGGTAACAGACATATCCATCACCTCCAAGCATTTCATGTGCCTTTTTTGGGGTCTTTTGTTTGTTTTGTTGTTGTTGTTATAGGAAAACTTAACATGAGCTCACCCTTATGGCAGAAAGTGAAGAGGAACACAAGAGTCTCTTGATGAAAGTGAAAGAGGAGACTGAAAAAACTGGCTTAAAATGCAACATTCAAAAAATGAAGATCATGGCATCTGGTCCCATTACTTCACAGCAAATAGATGGAGAGGCAATGGGAACAGGGAGAAACTATTTCCTTGGCCTCCAAAATCACTGCAGATGGTGACTGCAGCCATGAAATTAAAAGATGCTTGCTCCTTGGAAGAAAAGCTATGACCAATCTAGACAGCATATTAAAAAGCAGAGACATTACTTGCCGACAAAGGTCCATCTAGTCAAAACTATGGTTTTTCCAGTAGTCATGTATGGATGGGAGAGTTGGACCATAAAGAAAGCTGAGTGCTAAAGAATTGATGCTTTTGAACTGTGGTGTTGGAGAAGACTCTTGAGAGTCCCTCGGACTGCAAGGAGATCCAACCAGTCAATTCCAAAGGAAATCAATCCTGAATATTCTTTGGAAGGACTGGTGCTGAAGCTCCAACACTTTGGCCACCTGTTTGGAAGAGCTGACTCATTAGAAAAGACCCTGATGTTGGGAAAGACTGAAGGTAGGAGGAGAAGGGGATGACAGAGGATGAGATGGTTGGATGGCATCACCGACTCGATGGACGTGAGTTTGAGCAAGCTCCAGGAGTTGGTGATGGACGGGGAAGCCTGACATGCTGCAGTCTATGGAGTCGCAGAGTCAGACATGACTGAATGACTGAACTGAACTGAACTGAACGTGAGAGCTACACTCCTAACAAATTAACTACCTCCTACAATATTAACTAGAGGCGCTGTGTTGTACATAGGTGTTAGTATATTTAATCCTCCCAATAACTGGGATGTAGGTATTACAATTTCTGTTTTACAAATGTGGATCCTGGAACTTAAAGAGGTTAAATTATTTGCCCAAAGCCATTCAGCTAGTTAATGGAAGAACTAGGATTCACATTTCAGTCTATCTGACTTTTTCAACCAAGGCTGTCCATATTATAATATCTCCCCTGTTCTGTCTACGCTGGTGCCCCTTTGGCTGAGCTGAGCCATGAGGGAAAGAACCTCTAATCTCAGTGCCCTTAAATTGCTTAGGAGGTGGGACTCAGGAAATTTCTGAACAATGATTGAGGACACAGTGGACTCAGCTTACACAATCCAGAGGAAGAGGGTGATACAGAACTTGAACTAGATTATCTGCCTGGGGTCAGTAACCCAGAGGGTGCCTGGAAGGGCCCTTTACCTTGCTGAGCTTCCAGGAAATCTGGAAGACCTAGAAGCTTCTGCATGTCAAGTGATAAATGACACCCTACCCTGTTGGAGTGCCCAGCAAGGACTCACACAGGTGTGTGGGAAGGAGAGATGGGAAGAAGGCAGGGTTCTAGCAGTAGGTGCTAAAAATTTCCTGAAATCCTCACACATACACCCAGCCTGGAAACTTCAACGCTCCATTCCTCTCTCCCATCCTCTCCTACCTCTCAGTGAGGCCATGATGTGCTTGTTAATCTGCTTTCACCTGTTTTCCTGTTTTGATCTGATTTTACCTGGAAACTAATGGAGAAGTTCCTGTGCAGAGTAATAGGAAGGGAACTGGGATTGAATCCAGGTTCTCACTAGCTTCCTTGGTGGCTCAGAGGGTAAAGCGTCTGCACGCAATGTGGGAGACCCGAGTTTGATCCCTGGGTCGGGAAGATCCCCTGGAGAAGGAAATGGCAACCCACTCCAGTACTCTTGCCTGGAGAATCCCATGGATGGAGGAGCCTGGTAGGCTACAGTCCACAGGGTTGCAAAGAGTCGGACATGACTGAGCGACTTCCCTTTCAATTTCTCACTAGCTATATGAATTTTAAAGAAAGTATTTTACTTTTAGGGGTTCTTAATTCTCTCACCTGGGAAATGAGAAAATGATACTTACCTCTAGGGGCTGTTGGGAGTATCCAGTGGGGCAATGTATGCAACAGCATCTGGCACAATGCCTGGCACACAGTAAATGTTCAATAAATATCTGGTGGGTGAATGAACTGATGCTCCACAAAGGTTAATCACTCCAGACGTCCAGGCCTGGCACTGCACTTACTACTTAGAAAAATGCGGAGTTGGGTCCTCTTAGGCAGGCCTCCAGTGAGTCATTGAATTACAGTTAAAGGACGCAAACTCATCCTGTACCCTCCCCAGCCCATGCAGGGGCAATGGGGAAGGCTCCCAGCTGAAAGGCCCTGGCTACTGCCGCGGCTGTAGTAGAGCAAATATCACCAGAAGCGGGTGACTCAGCCTCTGCTCCGGACCTCGGCACAAAGAATCCGGGCGGCCTCTGGCTTGTCTGCCACAGCTTCTGAAGGTAAACAGACTGACCTCTGGGCCTGTGAACTAATACCGAGCAAACCCGGCACTGTGTATGGAGATTTGCATGAAAGTCAGGCAGGGGCCCAGGGTTCTCTCCGCTCTCCTCCCTGCCTGGCTTCCCTGTTTTCTCACTCCCAGTACGCTTGTTTGGTAGCTGGTTCTACACACTGGCTCTGTCCTGAGAAGGAAGTGGGCGGACAAGAGAGGCTAGAGCGCCCCCTGCTGGGGATGAGTGAGCTGCTAGCTTCTGGATGGTTCACTAGCTGTCTTTCTGTGTTGGTGCTGTCCTCAACCTCAGTGCTGAAACTCTTACACTCTTAACCTGAGACGGTAGGTATAACCTGGTCCAGGAATGCTAGGGAGTTGCTGAGCAGGCTAGGGCCACAAAGAGGTCCACTGGCAACCCCTGGTCCCTTAGACTGAGCCTCCCTGCTCTACTTCTGGGGAGAAGCAGAGAGCAATTTTGCAAACAGGTCCTACAGTCTTATGGTCATGTATTTTTCCCTCCTAAGGATTGCTAACTGTCAGCAGGGCCCGTATTCTGTAATTCAGACGTTGACTCTCATTGTTTAGTGTTAAGTGATACTTATTATACTGTAAACTCCATGGTCTGACATTGGAAATGTAACCTCCCTCTTACATCATTCTCCCCACAGTTATAGACTAGGAAGTAATTCAGCATGACTTAAAGGAAGAAAATCCCTCTCATTTCTCCATGACAGATGTTCATTCAGATTCTGCTTGCATGCCTCTAGTGATGGGGAACTCTGTGTCTCTCAGGGACCTCATCCAGTGGTTGACAATTCTATTCACTAGAAGGTTTTCCTCAGTTTTGAACTGAAATTTGTCTTACTGAGACTACTTCCCTGGATTTGGTTCTAACCTGTTGGCAACACAGAACAAGTTTGCTTTTTTTCTGACAAAAAGAATATCCAAGATACTTTTCCAACTTTTTAGATATTGTGATCTTGCTTTCCTTAACCCTACTCCCTCTTATTTTTCATCTCATGGATAAACAGCTCCTGTTTCCTTATCCATTTCCAATGGGAAGTGATTTGCAGACACCTTATCATCCTGGTCACATCCAACTAGCAGCTAGCCTTGATTGAATGATTTTCTGTGCTGTGCCTAGTTGCTCAGTCGTGTCTTACTCTTTGCAACCATGGACAGTAGCCTGCCAGGCTCCTCTGTCCATGGGGATTCTCCAGGCAAGAATACTGGAGTGGGTTGCCATGCCCCCCTCCAGGGGATCTTCCCAACCTGGGAACTGAATTGGGATCTCCTTCATTTCAGGCAGATTCTTTACCAACTGAGCTACCAGGGAAACCCCAATATCCCCCATAAAATCCCATTAAACCCACATACCTACTGTAATGAGGTAGACATTACTATCACCATGTTATAGGAACTAAGATTCAGAGAGGTTAAATAACTTACCCAAGATCACACAGATATTAAGAGACAGAATAAAGGTTTGAATGCAGAATTAGAATCCAGAGTTGCCTGACTCCAAAATTTTCTTTTAAACCACTAGCACACCTGAGCTTTTAAGACCTATGGTCCAATTAATCAATGCAGCTTTTCAGAAGTGCAGTTATATTTTCATAACTGAAAATATCCTATTGATAAAAAGTTGATGAAAGTAGCTACTTTTTTCTGTCAATGAAGATTTGGTCAAACAGGTATCAGATCAGTTTACTTCTAGTAAAATGTAAATTGGAAAAATACATGTGTGAGTGTATGCTCAGTCGCTTCAGTTGTGTCTGACTCTGTGTTACCCTATGGACTGTAGCACCCCCCCTACCCCCAGGCTACTCTGTCCATGGGGATTCTCCGGCAAGAATTCTGGAGTAGTTGGCTATGCCCTCCTCCAGGGGATCTTCCTGACCCAGGGATCAAACTTGCGCCTCCTATGTCTCTTGCATTGGCAGGCAGGTTCTTTACTACTAGCACCACCTGGGAAGCTATGCCATAATTTAATAGGCAGTATAAATCTATAAAATGAACTACCTAAGCACCAAAAAAAAAGTGGGGTCTAAATATGGTCACCTTATGAAAGCAATTTGGGCAGGGAAAAATAAATCTGGTCTATTATCTCAGATTTTATGCAATCTGCCTCTCTTTATGCCATCTCAAGAGATGCTCTTGTTTCTGAAAGGCCTACCACAGTGTTGATTTGCATTGAGCTGGCTTCAGTCAAATAAACTCCCCAGGATTCTGCCACAGGAACGGCTGGAAAGTCAAGCCTTGACTGTCCTTCCTTACCTTGATGACAGAGTCCCAAAGTGAGGGTTACATCAAATTGGGTCATCTGGCTGGTTCTTGAGGGAGAGAGAGACCTAGAGGGAAGGGTGCCAAGAATGCTCAGAGGGACAGAGGAGCTGCAGGAAGCACTTTATTTGTGTTCCTCTGGGCAACAAGAACCGAGGGGAGAAGCTGTATATACAACACAACATTTGTAGCCAACTAACATATGGGTTTTTTTTTTTTTAATCATTTCTGAAAAGCAATAAGCAAAGGGAGAATAAGCTTTGCTCTCAATTTTTAACATACTTTGAAAATCTCCAATCCAAAGCAAAAGAATGCTAAACTGAAGCTTTGTGCTAAAGGCCCTATCTCCCTGGAGCCTCCCTTCCTCTCCCTATCTCCTAATCCTCATTTCCAGGAGGTCATTTTAATTAGCAGGCTGTCATGGTGACTCAGCCTGCTGCTTCACAGACAGGAAGTGAGCGGACTCCCCTGGACCCATTCATCATGCAAAGGCACTTTACTCTGTAGAAAAATGCACAATACTGAGCTCGCCCTGCCTTGGGAATTGCCACTGTTGTTGTTTTACTTTATCAACCCCACCTGCCTTGGGGTGCATCCTTTTATCTTTTGCATCTTCTGTATCTGGCAGTCAGCCTCCTCCCCTCCATGGCAGATTTTTCATATCTTCTTCTTCAGTGGTCAGTTTTGATCTCAGATCCTAGGATCTAGAGATCTTAACCATGAGAGAGACCTTCTGGAAGGTGCAGTTAATACTTTTTGTTTTAGGAGCTAAAGTTGCAATGAAACTACCTGGGTCATTGGGACATAGCTCTCAGGGCAGTTCTCTGAAGTTGCATGCTGGGCTTTAGGGCAGTCAGGCAGCATGCAGCTCATAGATAAAGTGACTGTATGTCTAAGACCATCGTGACCTCAAAAATTCTGACCCGTTGTTACCAAAGGTGCATTTGTCTTTTGTTTTGTATGCGTTGATGGTATTGTTTTGGGTCAGCAAATATGGACACTGCATTTCTAAAACAGTTAACAACCGTGGCCTAAAAGGCAGCCATCTGTAGTAACTGCACCACTTAGAACAGTGAAGGGCCTGGAAAGCACTGACTAGAGAAGGGATGTGGGGTTTTTCTCTTCCTGTGAGGCTCTCTGCCTTGTGGAAATTAGCATCTGTACTCATCTGGTCTGGGTCTTCTATTTTGTTCCTCCTGAGCCTTAAGCTGAAGGCTCACAATTGATTTTCAAATGGTAAAAAGGAAAATCAGTGATGAAATTTCTCATTCTTTCTCCTTCCCTTTCACTAGCTTATACGTTTTCTCACAGTCATTATCTTGGAAACTAGAATAGGGTGATTAATTTCATGGCCCAGCAGAAAACGCATGCTCTTGTCACCACAAGACCTCCCTGGACTCCACATCCTTAAAAAGAGTTTGAAGGGTCTTTGTGGTTCACTGAACTCTTCTTGTCCCCTTTGCCGTTGGGGTGGTTGCTGGCCGGGCCCCGCAGGATTGGGTGCTTGTAGGAAGGGGGTTTTCCTTTCCTGCAAAGGGGGAGATAACAAAGAGAGAAGAAAGACAGCACATGTACACACTGCATTGGAATCATCTGTGTGTATGTCTATCTTCCCCAATGGACTGTGAGCCGTGAGTCCGCCACTGGACTAGGAGCAGTGGCCTTGAATGCCTCATCTAGGCATCTCAGGAACCCAGCCCAAGGCATGACTGAATGAAGGACGCTCAGATGAATGGATGGGTTGTATCATTCTGGTTCTGGAGAAAACCTAACTGCCCTATGGTTATAACACTTCCAGATTTCCACCTTGATTCTAACTCGGTCTATCCTTTTCACCTTGGGATGTGGATGAACACATAGATGAGCTGGAGGTTGGCAGGGGCTTCATTCCCTTCGTAACCACGGACTTCATTCCAGGGGCTTCATTCCCTTCATAACCATCATGGGCTCCAGAGTCCCTTTATATTTCTCAGCATAACCTAATTATGGCATTTCACGGTGGGTCTGTCTCCCCTACAAGCTTGGGGGCTGTCCAAAGGCAGAGATGTGTCTGTTTGACCTCTGTATCTCAGAGCTCAGCACCCAATGTAATACCTTTCACATTACTCTTCAACAGCTGTTCACCTTCTGTTCTGCTCCTAGTGGGCAGGAACCAAGTTTTATCCGTGTTTGCATTTTTCCTCATATGGGGCTTTATTTATTACATTTTGAGTAATAAATTGATGTGACATTCATTCAAGCATTGGACTATGATTTATATGCAGTGGAAAGACTGGCCAATCCAGAAAGAACTGAACTGAATTCTCAGGCCAGGTATATATGAGAGGTATGACCTTGAGCAAGTTATTTTTAATTCTCTGAGCTTCGTTTACAAAATGAGGATAAAATATTCCAATTTCAGGGTGATGTGACGTTAAATGAGACAATACAAATAAACACACCTCGTGTCTTCCTTTGCCTACTATAACTTACAAAGGCATGCTGCTAGGTGCTAGGTATGGTCCAATGGACTCTGGAGGTGACAGAGGTGAATCAGACATTGATGTCCTCAGGCTGCTTACAATTTAGTAGAGGTCATAGATGTATAAAATAACTACATAAAATAATAAATAATAAGAATGACAACTCTTGGCAGAAAATGGTAATGCCACAAATATGGGAAACTTTTGGGCTGTTAGAGGTAGGATTCAAGAAGTGACTGCTTATAACCCATGCTGCTCTGATTCTGGAGTATCATTTCCTTCATTGCTGATGAGGCATGAATAGGGTAAAGACAAGACCAGGTGTCAGCACATAAAAGAGGCACCTCACCCTCATGTAGCTCCTCAACCAGGAAGCCTCACAGACTAAGATTCTACGCTCATGAAAGACCTTGCTAAGACAGGAAGATCATCTAGCATGGTTGAGATACATCTAAGTCTTAGTACCCAACAAAAGCCTGGAACACACACTTGGAATGTCGTTAACAGGCGATGTGATCTTCAGGAAGTCCTTTCTCTTCCCTGGCCCCTGCTTCTTCTTTTGTAAAATAGTAGCACCCGTGTCCTTCCTGCATTCTGGGTGCTGGTGAATGAGGCCTGGGGAAGAGCTTTGCTCATTACAAGGTGCCATTCACGTGTCACTGAGAGGGTGGGTCTTTACTCCCAAAGGAAGCATGGGAAACAAGTGGATTTGTTTCTTTGGGGGTGAAAGAGGGTGTGCAAGCCCAGGTATGATCACAGGTGGGGTGGTCCCAGGTAGATGGCGTGCATGGGGAGAGGGTGTGTGATAGCCAGGGAGGAGTGTGGACATGAAAAATGACTGTGGGGTCCTTACAAAGGCAAAAAGCATCCACAGCTCCAGATGGGGTGGCAGAGAGAGGCATCAGCAGGCAAACCTCTCACCTATGGGCCCCACAGAGCTACTCTTCTTCCTACAGGGCCCTCTTCCACCTATCTGGACTCCCTCCTTTGGAAAGCCGACTCCCCAGAAAATAAGCTGCACCCTCCCCTGGTTCCCACAGCACTTTGGGCCTCATCTCTCAGCATGCCATTTTCTGGGGAGTTATTTGCCCAGCTGTTTTTCTCATAGGACTGTTAGTTTGATGCATCTGATTTCTCTCCATAAGTCCTGAATAGTATGAAGTATGGCTTGAGGATTGTTTAATGAATTAAATGAACTGTTAGTCCCATCTTTACCATCTCTACTGTCCTCAGCATCCAGGCCTGCCATTACCTTAGAATGTGCCTTTTCAGCTTCTGCTTGCTGCCTTCCATGCCCTTTCCCTCCAACCTGGAATGCCTCCCTCTCCTCCATTTCATCCATTTGAATTCTACATGTCCTTGAAAACCAAGTTTAAGCCCCACTTCCTCCATGAAGCCTTCCTGGGATACTCCTGATGGCTGCCAAATACTCGCCACTAGTTGTGGGAGAGTAATTTCTGGTTGGGTCTCACTTTTCTATAACACGAAGGGGTTGAAGCGGATGATTCTTAGAGGATGCTTCAGTTCTACCATTTCATAACTCATATATTCAGAGCTTATGGAGGACTTACTCCCAACCAGGCCTTGAATGTGCGCTGAGGTCCTTAAACAGTTCCTTCAGGAGCAATCCATCTAGTGGTGGAGCCAGACACACAAAGATGCTATGACAATACGCTCTGGGATGTACCCTGCACACATGTGTGCAAAATGCAGTTAGGGGTTCAGCAGACAGAAGGAGGTCTATCTCCAGTGGAGAACAAGGACCAAGAAACAGAGGTGCGATATCCAAACTGGGCTTTGAGAGATAAGCTGGCATTCTCCATCTAGAGCCGGACAGGGAGAACATTCCAGGAAGAGGGGAAAGGATGAACATGGAGCAATGACTTACTTACTTGGGGTATAAAGTGGTAGAAAGCAGGTAGGGTGGAGACGGGGCTCACAGGGAAAGGTGTATGCTAGGAAGCTGGATATGAAGTTTTCAATGTAGGCCAGGGCTTTGACCAGCAAGAGGAGGAATTGAAACATTACTGAAGGTAATGGGGAACCATGGAGGCTTTTGAAAGAGGGCACAAGGTGCTAGGTAGCTGAGCACATTCATACATTGCTTGGTATGGTTTGTGATGTTTGCATGTGGACATGCCTTCTCCTCTGTGAATCTGGGCTCCTGATGGGCAAACATTATCTATGTTCCCCCAGCATCAAGTTCAGGGCTCCAGTGAGATGCAGAGCTGATGATTCCCACCCATCCCCCTACACACAGACATACATCCAAACCCCACCGTGGAGGCAGCCCTTTACTGTCACTGAGTCTGAGCCTGCCTCACACTCAGAGGCCTGCCCACCCTCCGTGCTCACGGTTCATCTCCCCACAGAGGCTCACCTGGCCTGTTCATTGTCCTCGTCTAATTTGTATCCACCTTGATGGGACATTTTGTGTCCCTGTGGTTGAGATAAGTGTGGGGGTCTCAGCTCTGGTCATCGATGGCATGTCTCTGAGCCCGCACTCACATCTTGTCCCTCTCCCCTTCAGGGCCCTCCCAGGGATGCTGACAGGCTCCTACTAGCACATGGGTAGAAGCTGACACAGTATAATTATCCATCGAGATGGGAGAAAACAAAGATTAATTCTGAATCAAAACATGCAATTTGCCTTTGAAACTAGAACTGCTCTTTCATGTATGTTATTCAATGCTTGGGTGGAAAATAATACAAAAATGGGGACCTAGTCAAGTCCCAAATCAGAGCTGTGTATCCTCCTGAGATTCATGTTTTCAAGAGTTGCTGACAAATTGAGAACTAAGTGATATTCAAAGTTCGATGAGGGAGCGATGTGGGGATTGGAGAGGGTGTTTATTCTATTTTTCTTAGATGAAGGGTGGGTGCCTTTACTATGAGTCTTCAAGGCTGTGGACTCTGAGGAGGGAGTCCTTCAACTCTTCTCTAATGAGGGTTCCAAAGCTCAGCGCAATGGGGGTCCCATGAGCAGGGCCCAGAACGCCCAGTTTCAGGGGCCTGCCTACCCCATCTTGAAGAACTCTTCACTAACTGATGCTCAGAACATGAGGCTGGGGATTGGGATGGTGGGGCCTGGCTACTAGCCCTGCATGTGGCCAGTCCCGTCCACTCCCAGGGCCTTGGATGCCGTATCTGCACAATGATGATCGTTACTCTTGCTGATGTCAGGACTGACAGTGCAACATGCAGAACAAAGTGGGAAATGATCAAGTTAATTTTATTCAGGCTGATGGAGGACCTGAAAGAGACAATCCCCAAATTAACTTGTAAATGAGATTCTATGGATTCTTTTGAGTTTATAAAAGTGAAGTCGCTCAGTCATGATCAACTCTTTGTGACCCCAGGGAGTAGCCTGCTAGGCTCCTCCATCCATGGGATTTTCCAGGCAAGAATACTGGAGTGGGTTGCCATTTCCTTCTCCAAGTGATCTTCCCGACTCAGGGATCGAAACTTGGTCTCCTGCACTGCAGGCAGACTCTTTTCTGTCTGAGCCACCAGGGAATCCCCCAAATGCTCCTTCTAAAGGCTAATCCACCAGGATGGGGGTGAACACCTGAGGCAGAGCACGAGTTTATAACACTTTAAATTTTAAGGACTTAACCCATCAAGAATGACTTCTAAGGATGAACTGAGCACCTTCATCTAGAGGTGAGCGTCTCAAAGTCAGGGTCATGCTTTAATCATTTACTCATTAAAGCATCCCCTTCCCCACTAGGGACCTGGCATAAAGTGCTGTTGTCCTAAGTGAATGAATGAAAGGATATATACATGAAAGCACGCTCCATACAGCTTAGGTACCGTGGGAGAACAGAGAAGGAAAAGACCTGCTCTTATCCACTCTGATGGGGGTGAACAACTGAGACAGAATATGCTGTGGAGCAGACTCCTCGTGGAGCTGGGGCTCAGAGGGGAGGGACTCCTAACTTGATGGGATGTGGCTTCTGAGAGATCATCCAGCCCAACTAGATAAATCCAGGGACTTGCCCGAGGCTGTGATGAGCTGTCTGGAAATCTGGGCCTGTGGCACAGAAGCCCCAGAAGATGGAAGCATTCATTGAGCACCTCCTGGCTACCAGGCACCAGACCATGCTTGTATCTAATCTTTAAAACCACCCTTAGAGGTTGCTGTTGTTACCCTCACTTTAGGAAGGCAGAAAGAGGTTTCACAAAGCCAGGAAATCTGTCTCACATCCCACCAGCTTGAGACAGAATTTGAACCTACACTGACAGTGAGAAAAGGTTCCTGCTGGAGGTACAGCTTAGCTGGACTTCAGTCCAGCTTTGGAATAATAAACACCTAGGATCAAATCCTGCCTCTACAAAATGTCTTTGACCTCAGGAAATTTTCTTTACCTTTCTGAGCTTCCTTTTCCTCATTTGTAATATGATGAAGAAATTATCTATGAGGAATGAATAAGACCATGTACAAAAAGTACTTGGCTCAGTAAATAACAGTGATTAACGTTGTTTTTGTTAATAACAGATTCAGGAGGAAGGTGCATCAGTACAAAGGCCCTGAGACAGCAAAGCATTTGGGCAAGGTCATGAGCAAGGTCAGTGGGAAGATTTGGTTTGGCAGGAACCTTTTAAATTGATATCATTAAGTCCTTCAAGGAGGCTGGACCACTAGGCAAGTAGGAGATGAGGTCAAGGGGTAGGGTGAGGCCAGCACATCCCAGATGCCACTGGGTGTCCCTGCCCAAATGCTCACTGGGCTCATAGCCAGCAGGCATGGGAATGCCCAGCACTCTGGGCTCTGGTCCAGCGCTCAGGAAGGACACTCATCACTTGACCTTCTCTCTTCACCAGCCCAAAAAGCTGACCACGGCAGAGGACCTGAGGGGAAGCTTCTCAGGGCCGTGTCCTCTAAGCACCGAGTCTTTGCATCTTGACAGTGGGGGCCTATCATATGTACAGGGTGCATACATGCCTGGCACTGTGCAAGGTTCTCTAACGTCTCTTAATAGTCTTCTAAGTGAGAATCACTGTCCCCACTTTACAGACGAGGAAACTGAAGGATCAGAGGCCTTATGAGAGCCGATGATACAGGAATCCTAGAGGGTGAGCTGTCAGATGGAGTAGCACATGGATATACCCAGACCAGCTTGGAATAGTGGCTGGACTCAGCCTCCCAGCAACTCCCAGTCCTGTGGGTTCCCATGTTAGACCCAGAAATGTGACCACCCCCTCACTGTCTCACCCCATAATGATACCCCCAACTCAGCAAACTGCGCTGTGAAGCTCTTCGGCCACTACAGTCTCTGTGGCAGGGCTGGGATCATCTTTCCCATACCGCCCAGGGCCAGACAGAGGCTAAAGGAAGCTGCCCCTGAACAAGAAGCCAGTTAAGCAGGACACAAGCTGTGCCTAGCACTTACCGCAGCCTCGGCATGGGGATCGCCACTTTCTCGACCATGGGGTTCAGCCGGTAATAATCCAAAAATGTTCTCGCCACATTCCGCCCCAGCTTCATATCTGCAAGGGTGGGGGTTAAGGAACAACTCTGGACTAGTAAGAAAATTGACAACAGTAACAAAACAGTATCACTACTCACTCTTCTATGTGTTGTATGTACTATCTTTTTGATTTTCACAAATCCTTAAATATTAGATACTATTATTTGTCTTTTTTACCAGGTGAGAAAATTGAGATGCGGAGAAGTTCAATCATGTGTTCAAAGTCATAGAGCCTGGAAGGAATCTTACTCTGAAGCCTGTGTTCAGAGATTTTAGAACCTACTGCATCCTTTTGGGAATCACTGGGCTTCCATGGTCTGCCAATCAGGTGGCCCAGGGGGAGGCAGATAAGCAAGACCCAAGGGCAAGAGACCTTTTGTTGTATAGAGACCAAGGCCTTCTTGACCTTCAGGGATTAGTCATCTACCTTGGTAACCTTGGGGACAATGATAAAACCTTCTCACCCTAAATAGTATCCTTGGTCCGCCTTGAAGTCTACCAATAATGAATCCTTAGGGTAAGTACTTGTGACCTGTTAAACACAAGCTCCCCAGGAAAGGGGAAAGGGTCAATTCCACATTGACCAGTAACACTTTAGTATAAATTTGCACAACAGTCATCTATTGGACAACATGGGACATAGGCTCTGTGCATTATAGTTCACATCTCTGGACCTTCACATGAGCGATTTCCTCTGCCTCACTTTTCTTCAGCTAATTTGTAACTGTCAGTTTTTCAGTTAGGTGATGTCTCTTTAGTAAGGCACAATGCTCTTCTCCCAGGCCTATGAGTGGTGCTCTTGCCCTCTGCTCCTGTGGCTTCTGAACTGACTTCATTCAAAGCACTAATCTTTTATCTCACGTCCCCCAGCTCTGAATATCCAAACCATCACCAACTCTTACCCAGGGGAACATCTTTGTCTTTAGTTGGTCCACTTTTCCCCAGGCCCCTGCTGTCTTCCTAGAAAAGGCCAGCATCATCTTTTCGTTGAATTGCTGTCATCCTGTCCTAGTGGCCTCCCAGCCACGAGGCTGCCTGCTTCTGCTCCATTTTCTATAAAGTTGCTGGTGGGATGGGGTGAAAGGGTAGTTGTTCTAAAGCACAGATCTGCCCACATCATCCAACTGAGGAAAACCTTTCAGTGACTCCCAGTTGCTTTTAAAATTCAAATTTGGAACTTGATTTACTGGGTCCTTTGTAATTGGGTCTCAGCTTTGTGCTTGCTGCCTCCTGCCTTCCACCCTTCAGCCTTTATATTCCAGTGATACTGAGTTTCTTTCACCTCCAGGCCTTTGCCCATTTCACTCCATCTTCCCAGACCATTCTCCCCTTTGCCCACAGGCCTTACAGGGCCAACACACCTTCTCAGCCTCCAGACACCTCCATTTAGTCGTCACTTCACTGGGAACATCTCGGCTACTACTCCATCCGGGCTCATGGAGCTGGGCCAGCATATGCGAAACAGTCAAGCAAGTTCTCACCCCTCACTTCGAGGTGTCTCCAGGCTGGGTTCGGACATGGCCCTGGACATGAACACCACGAACAGCAGCATTTGTGGAGCACTTGCTATGTACCTGGTACTACACTGACCCTTTACTAACACGTCATTTCAAACAACCCAGGGAGGAAGGCATTCCTATCTCCCTTTTGCTTTTGGAAGTTGAGAAACCTGTCCAAAGCTAAAAAACTGCCAATGGTAGACTTGAGACTCCAGTCTGGGACTTTCTGATTCCAGGACCATGAACTTTCTGCCACTCCGGGCTGTTGCCCTGCTGGAAGGCACCTTTTCTGTCAAGGGCTGAGGCACCCCAGCCCAGTGCTTGGCGGGAGAAGGGGAAACAGCAGATGAGTTGTTTACGACAGTGAGATGTGCTACAGGTTTGCTGTGCTCTCAGCTGCAACCTGCTTCCTTCCTCTGCTTGTGACCGCCCTTCTCTGTCCCCTTCTTTAAAAAGTTCACAAGCTGGTGTTGGGCCTGGGCTTTCTGACCAGCAGACCCCAGAGGCAGTCTCACTGCCAGGGCCTGCAGAGGTGGCTGGCTGCCTCAGTTCAGTCAGGCTCTAGTTGGCTTGAGGAAACTGAATAACCACTGCGTGTGTCGACAGTAAGAGCTACAGGGGCGCAGAGGGAGGGACAGGTCCCCGGGGACCAGGCTAAAAGACTGTAGCAGAAGTTTTGGAATCAAATGCATCTCATTTGAATCCTGGCTTGGCCACGTGCTGTGTGTGGCCGATGGTACTTTCCAAAGATGTCTGCACAATGTCTCCCATCTCACCTGCCATCCCATGATGTGATCTTGAGGCTCCTTCCACTGAGAGGTGGAGTCTATATCCTCTCTCTTTGAATCCGGGTGGGCTTATAACTTACTTGCTACCTAAGGAATGGCAGGAGTGACACTGTGGGGCTTCTGTTGAGAGGTCAGAAAAGCAGGGCTGACTCTCGCCTTGTCTGCTGGAATGCCCCACCTGGGGTTCTGAACCTCTGGGCGAGCAGTCTGACTGCCTGAGGCCATCCTGCTGTGAGGAATCCTGAAACCAGCTCACAGATGGTCTGCAGGCAGAGGCCCTGAGACTTTGGGGAAAGGCTACTTCAGAGAGGGACTCCTGGCCAGCCCACAGTCCCTCCAGCACTCTGCCGCTCTAGCTCCAGCCAGCATCTCACTGCTACTGCATCAAAGATGCCAAGCCAGACCCACTCAGCCCAACCCTTCCTAAATTTCTGACCCACAGAAAACAAGAGAGAATAACTATGGTTTTAAACATTAACTTTGGGGAAATTCGTTCTGCAGGAGAGGAGAGCAAGAACACTGTGTGACCTTGCAGAAGTTCTCCCTTCTCCCTGAACCTTCTTTCCTCACCCGCAAAACATGAATAACAATGCCTGCCTTGCAGGGTTGTGGTGGTGAGATAAGCAACCAACCCATGGATGCTGACTAAGTAAGCGCATGAATATGGCCAGAGGGAAGCCTGAACTCTTCCTCCAGGCCTGCAGTGACAGCCAGACTCACTCAGCCCTGGAGCAACCCTAGGAGATCTCCCTGTAGGTCAACTCTCCCGAGCTCTACAAGGCAGAGGAGTTGGGCTGTTGCAGTCAAATGCCCCACCGTGAGGTGTTGATCATTTCAGACAAGCTCTGTTTAAAAGACAGTGTTTTAAAGGTGGAAATTGTCTGAGACAACCCTTTTTCTTTCCAACACTATTACATATTCCCTAAGCCCTGAGAGCCTCGCTCCAGGTTATTTACTGCACTGGCCCTGCTGGAGCCAAGAAATGGGACGTGGGTGGGAGGAGGGAAGAGATTGATTGAACATTTTCAATTAAAACAGGCTGTCTTTGAACAAAGATTTAAGATCCAGGCAAGGAGAAAGCAATAACTCTCTTGGCTGGAACCTTCTCCAATATATTGCAGAATTAAGAGAGAAAAAAATGGGGGTGAAAACTCCCAACTCTTCACTGCCAACAAAAACCTCAGAACGGCCTATAAGTTCAAAATGTCATTCTCCTGAGAGTCATCTGTTGCTCCTGATGGGTTTCTAGCCAAGGGCAGGAGCAGACAGCAGGGGGGATCAGGACCCTTGAATCAGAGAAACAGGAGTTGGCTGGAGTTGTCCAAAACTCAGACTAAGTGACTTCAAAGTAAAGGGTGGGTGTCAATAGCTCCAGTACATGGAGGGACCCTTTAACAAGTAATGAGGGTTGGCTTATTCACATTCACTCATTCATTCATTTGTTTATTCATTCATTCTAATTTTGGGGGTTCCTCCCATGTGTGTATTGCTATGAAGAAGGGCTGAGACTAGGTTAGATAAAGAAGAATTAGACACAGTCTGGAAGAGGCAAAGACTCTGGTGCTGGGAAAGATTGAGAGCAAGAGGAGAAGTGGGTGGCAGAGGATGAGATGGCTAGATGATATCACTGATTCAATGGACATGAGTCTCAACAAACTCCAGGAGATAGTTAGTGAAGGACAGGGAAGCCTGGCATGCTGCAGTTCATGGGGTGGCAAAGAGTTGGACGTGACTTAGTGATTGAACAACAACAAGAAGACGATACTAACATATCCCAAATAACTACGTTACCAAACAAGCTGTTGCGTTGTCACCTTCACAAAAGCAATTGCCATTTTTTTCTAGCACACCCTGTGCACCGTACAGCGTAGTTATTTACTATCGACAATCCCCACCACATCCCTGCAAGGCCAAAGCATAATTTGACACATGTTTTATAGGAAACCGAAAAAAGGAGAGTTTGCATAATTGACCCAGAGTCTCGTGGCTAGAAAGTGATAGAAGTGGCATATGAACCTGAGTGTCTTTTTAACACTATGCATGTTTTCTCCTTTCATGAGTGTGGTCATAAATTCAAACACAAATTCCGTGGGCATATGGCAGATTTAATTCCAAGTGGAGGAACTGTGAAAGGCTTCAAGGAAGTATGCTATAACAAAGATTTGAAGGACAAATACAAATCTGAAATGGGGAGGAAGAGAAAAATGAGCATCAGTACAAAAGTGGGGAGTGTGGCTGTGGTCCAAGATTCTGTGTTAGAAATAAGACAGAGAAGGGCCCATAGGCCCAAGGAGCTAAAGTGTAGAGGGGAGGTGGGGCTGCAATGGATAGGCTGGCGACAGATTAGTGAAGGCGCTGAATGTCAAATTATGGAATTTAAACTTCTATTCTGTTGGCAATAAAAACCAGAGTCTGTCTATGCTTGTATCCATCATCTGTTCACTCAATACACAGTTGTTGATCATCTAGTATATTCAACTTCTCTAGAAGGCATGGGATATACTTTGCTTAAAAACAAACAAAAAACAACAAACCAAGACAACAGCTCTTAAGTCTATAAGCAGAAACAGTAACAAAAGAATAAAAAAAATCCTAAATAAATACATAATTGTGATTTTAATAGTGCTAGGAAGAAAATGCATGGAGTCTATAACTGAGGGCAATGTGAGTGCTACCTTAGAGAGGGGGTATAGGCAGGCCTCTGCAAACTGAGAGTGAGCAGTGGGTAAGCA